ACTGTTTGCTTGTTTGACACTGGAAACACACAAAAACACAAATGTGCCATTTCATTAACTTTATCTTTAAGTCTTAAAGTTGTTTTCAGATAATCGTATTCCGAAAATTTTGAACATTTATGAAACACACAAACTGGTTCTCCATCCTACTGTGTGATGACTCACTGTTGCTTTTGTACTTTCAGGTACAAAATCCTATTATTCTCTGACATCCCCCCCCCTCTCTCTTTTGAGTGTATTCTACCTCGACAATGGATTGGAACCCATGTGGTAGCTGCCCATCTCAAGCCTTTGATGCAGTTTTATTGAGAAATTCAGACAGAAAGCTGCACCATTATGTAGTTATTTAAATGATGTGTAGGCACAAAAAAATACACGAGACAACTTTCCTAGCCAACAAAACACAATGAAGCCTCACATATTATACAGTCCATTTGTATATATTTTAAGCCTAATATGGTGAACTGGAACAGGAGGAAAATAGGGGGCATCTGATAAGTGAACCTGATTATTCCTGTTATTTAATTCACCAGAGACCACCAATATTAAACAGGAATCATTTTCTCTATTTTCTCAGCTAAAAAGTGAACTCTTTAACTTCACCTTTTGGTGTCTAGGTTGCCTTTTTTTTCCCATTTAAACTGTGAATCTCTTTCCATATTTTTTCATTTATACGTTATAAGACTTACAGTGCAAACACTGCTTTAAATCTATATATAATATTTTAAGGGGGGAAAGCAGCATATTAATCAGAAGATGACCCAAACCTGACATTATTCAACTTAATCAACGTTGACAGATGAGATCACCATTGGAAGCGCAAAAAAAAAGTAATGAAAGTTGTTTTTACCTGAACAGTGAATGCAAAATCTAAAAGCAGTGCCAAGTCATGCTGACACGTTTCTATAAGAACACTGTTACTAATGGAAGCAGATATTTTTATTATCTGTGCGGTATTTAGGCATCTACTCGAACAACGTACTCCTAAAGTTATTGAAGACTGGATCATATGGGAAAAACAGAGTAAATTTTAGGCACTTCTTATGTCTACTAGTTCAAGTACAACTACAAAAATTTAATATTGTGACAACTTACAACCATTTTGTCCCTTGTTTCAGAAATGAAAACCTAAAATTCAATGTCTCAGATAATTAAGATATATAAAATCAATACCAATCAAATTTTGAAACAGAAATGCCAGGCTTCTGTATGCTCATGTCAGCCTGCAGTTCTGCTGAAGTGTAATTGAATCCCTGGTTGCTTTGATAGCGGCCGTCGAGTCATTTGAATTATTGGGTCTGGTGTCTCTAATCTTCACATTGACAATACGCAACAGCGGCCAGGGGAATTTGCTGTATCAAACAGTAACACGAAGGTCAGTGAACCTGTTTTGGTAACTTTTAGTAGTGTGGGCAGGTGCCAAAATTAAATCAGCTTCTCCATTAAGCTTGTCTGCAGAAAAAAGCGTGAAGATCCCCAAGATGTGCTGGTAGTCGGCTGCGTTGACTGCAAGCTTATGGAGCAACACCAGCAGATGACATGACACCCCAAACCATCTCTGGTTTAGGAAACTTCACACTGGAATTCATCCAAAACAGATTCCGTCTCTCTCCACTCTTCCTCCAAACTCTGGGACCTCCATTTACAAAGACAAAGAAAACTTTCATCTTTAAATAGGACTTTGAACCACTGAGTAACAGTCCAGTTCCTTTTGGCCTTAGCCCAGGTGAGACACGTCTGACATAGTCTCTGGTTTAGAAGTGGAACGTGACGTTTGGAGCCCAAAGGGTTTTTCTGTGCGTAGAGGTCCTTGATGCCATGACTCCATCCTCAGGCCACTTCTTTTCAAGATCCCTTCCCCCAAATTCTTGAACGGCTTTGACTTGACAGTCCTCTTAAGGCAGCACTTATCCCTGTTGCTCACATTTCCTTCCAATCTACTTTCTATGAATATCCCAGGATAAAAAAAAGTCTGTGAACAAGCAGCTTTCTTAACCATTTGTGCCTTTTTGTCATCTGTACAGCCAGCAGTCTTATCCATGATTGTGACCCACTCTCCGACCGTTTAGAGGCTCAGCAAACTTTGGCAGGTGTTTTGAGTTAATTAGCTGATTAGGCAGTGCCACCATCAGTTTCTGATTTGACATTTTCACAGTATTCTAATTTTCTGAGAAATTGAATTTGGGGCATTCATTAGCTGAAAGCTACAGTCATCATTTCAAGAAAAAACGGCTCGAAAGAGTTCACTCTGATTAGTCTGAGTTTTATTTTGAGAAAGGAGAGACAAACATTGACTACTTTTTTTGCAACATTCAAATATTTTTCAGCATTTAAGAGTTTCAGCAAGAAAAATGGGAGAAAAATCAGAGTCAAAATTTTTACATGAATCTGCAAATAAATAGTTTGTTAAAAGGTTATTGGAGATGTGTTGAAAATTAAAATGTTCACTAGAATAGGCTTTGATGAAAACTTTGGACAGAGGAAAAACCATATTGGAAATGTTGCCTGCGTACACCTGCAACTGACGTGAGACAACAGGAGAGAGGAAAAAGCACGAGCCATGCAGGATCTCCCGCTGCCAGGATAATCTTTATTTCTACTAATCTGCAATGCACTATTATTTTCAAATCTTTCAGTTCAAGAGTGTGCACTGTTTGGAAATAGATAATCAGGCATTTTCTTTTTGTTGCCATTGTGTATGCAGCTTTAAAAACCAAACAAAATCAAAAGACAAAACTGAACCCACAATAAAATTACGTATGGGCCCGTATGAGATTCCACAGAGTGTGATTAACATAACCACAGCTTCATTGTAACTTTCCATTCAATCACAAAAATTAAACACTAAATGGCCTAACTGATTGAGTCTAAAAGAGAAAACCAATTGTTCCCAATGATGCTAAAATCATAGTAGTTGGAGTCACAATATTGACTCATACAATAAACGGTTTTATGTGTAGAAATTAGAGCAAAACAATAACAACAAAATGGGAATAAACACCTGCTAAATTTAAAGGTAGAGATGGCCGCAACTTCCTTCTTATAGAAGGTAAAAAAGAAACAAATGGAGTGGTGTCAGATTTTAGCAGAATTTCTCCTGCTAGCACTAGCTTTGCACGTTTGTTTTGGTTGTATCTACCCAGAATGCCAAGCGCATACTCCCCAGTTCACCTTAACCAAACTGAGACAAAGATTTTTAGGTGGACCAAAGTTCTGTTTTTTGATCTGCATCACAGTTCCTCAAATGAACTAGCGTTTGATTAAAGTATATGAAACAAGGCTGGTGTTAATTCTTATTTTACAGTGCGTTAAACTGTGTTGCTAACTTCTTTTGTCCTGAGACTGCAGTCAGCTGACAGACATGCAGCTCATAGCTTGCTCTTTCTAGATTTAAGACAGTGATAAGAAACAGTTCATCTTTGTCATGACTGGAGATATTTCCAAAAATCTTCCTTGTTCTCAAAGAAGTGAATCTCGATGCCCAGTTGGAGAGGCAACAGGACAGAAAACAAAAGTGTGGAGCAACTTCAGCACTTTTTTCTGGCATCTCATCAAAATACCTTCACTGCAGGAACAAGATTACCAAAACGGTTCGACAGTTTCCAAATCTTAGCATAACCAGGCACCAGTTTCAGAAAATGGCTCAGCAACATAAAAGCTCCACAAAATAAATAAATAAATAAATAAATAATATTGGCATAGCTTGAGGTAAAGTTTTCTAGAATGACTCTGAAGTTGAGGATTTCTCAGATGAAAACAACAACTTTATTTTGCTTGTTTTGCATTAAACAAGTCTAAAGACATTAAACATCACTATAAAGAATCTGAACATGAGTAAAAATTCAGCTATTTTAAGAAGGGAAGTTACATTTCCACAGGTAGGACTCACCTTTTCTGACATCCAGGCCCTGGAGGTGCCGACTGCATGTTTGCTATTAGCTAAGCCCCCCAGACAGTAAAGTTTTTCCACTGCTCCAGATATACTACTTTATGCATAAGCAGCCTTCATGCAGCTTTGTATCCTGCATATATCATGGGGTTACAACCCAACTATAACTTCTCACCGGGCCTATTCATCAGGTGCTGTGATGCATAGTGTGATTTCCAGTGTCAGCACAAAGTGTACAAAGCAGTAAATCAGAGAGGCTTTATCTTCATCCGTGTGTGTATTTGTGTGTCTGAGGGGAGCGCCTGTACTGACGGGAGCCGATTCTGACAATAAGTTGAACCAGACAATAAAATTACAAATAAATAGAAGCCTGATAGCACAAAGCAAATTACTTAAAAGTACAGTCCAAATCAACTATAAAGACTCAAATATTAAAATATCAGTTCATTAAAATTTTAACACCATCACAATTAATTTTACCAGAACTCATATGGGAAAACAACAGAAGCACTTATTACTTGATTTTAGTCCATAGCAACACCTACACACATAAAGATTAGGGCATCTGACAACTAACATCTTAACAGAAGATATTAATTGCTCTTTTAAAATATTGTTGGAAAAATTACAAAGATTAATTATCAAAATTATCTTTTTTTTTTTTTAAGTTTCGCATTAAAAATCTATAAGATTTGCACATAGTTGTGATGTTAAGGCAAACCAGTCAAAACTTTAAAGACAGCAGACTGGTTTAAGAAATACAATAAAAAATAAATAAATAAATATATATATATATATATATATATATATATATATATATATATATATATATATATAGAGAGAGAGAGAGAGAGAGAGAGAGAGAGAGAGAGAGAGAGAGAGAGAGAGAGAGAGAGAGAAACAGCCATGGCTTTAAAGACACCAGGTTTAATTGATTTCCAACACCAAGTCGAAGTTCTTAAGACAGTTAATTTCATGAATGCTGTGTGTATTCTGTATCTCTGAACAGACAAGTATCATTTTCTATTTAAAATGCAAAGACACCCAAAAATTACCCTAAATTTTTTTAAAGTAGATAACTGATTCATCTGTTTGGTCATATAAACAAACCCATAGAGGACAGTGTAGAGCAAAGCTAAACCTTATGTCCGCCAATCAAAATCCATCAAAAATAACCACTACTTCCTGTTAGGAATCTGGTGACAGGAGATTCATTTGTGTGGACAGACAAATAGGTTAAACTACTTTTAAATGCCATGTTAGAATATAAAATTAATAAAACACGAGACGATGTCATTTGGGAATCGTGCCATGTGTGGACGTGGAAACGGCATTATGCCTCCATATTGGTAGGAGTAGTTGGTGTAAAACAGCTGACCTCCAAGCATTGTTTCTTCTTTGCAATTCAATGTATTGCAACAGTTTGGCTGGTAAATCAGGCAAAAAGCATCTGAACCAACGTAAAAATCATCACCTGTCGTTTTTCCTCCACTGCACGGCCAAACAATAGCAAAAGTCACATGTGACACATTATTTGTCACAGACTGTAATGTGCACAGGAGCCTCTTTCCTATGTACAAACGCCAATAGGGAAAATTCTCAAACCTACACTTTGCTTGAGGTTTTTATTAATTGTTTTTAGTGATATTAGATGGAGTTTACGTGTGGATGAAAGACCAAATCGCAATAAAAAACTTTCCAGTTTCATAGATATCCAGCTATGTGTGGATGAGGCCTTAGAAGCCTGTTTCCTGGAGTGAAACATTTCTGTAGGATATTCTTTTATGCCACTGTGTTTTGATTTCAATGTAGCAGAAAACAGAACGATTCATGAATAATCTGACATTGTGTGGACTACTTCACTGGTTGAACATCTGGCACTTTCTTCCATTACACAATGTCAAGCATCCCGACCCGATGGACGGGCTCTACTGTACACACAATAAACATGAGTTAACATATGGAGATGCATACAGAGGGCAGCAACATTCTCATATTTCACGGCTCAGGAGCTTCATACAATATTTACTCGTGTACCACTGAGTGAAATTAACCTACTTTAAGACCAAAGCAACACAGTCAATTCAGTATGACGACAGCATCCCAAGAAGTCAATAGTAACTATTGTATTACATGCTGGCAATAATGAGGAGAGCAGTCCAGGGGGAAAAGCCATGCCGAAATGCTGCATACCTTAGAGGGTTGCGCTGGAATCTGCAGCATAATACGGACAAGCAGGATAATAGCAGTCCAACTCTGTGGAGTCGAACAAAAGGATTCAGAGATCAAATAGATAAGCCACTCCAGACCTTTCCATTCCAGTGCATTATAGAGCTTACATCTCAAAATTCATGCTTGGAACATCATCCTTTCCCTTCTTTGATATCTCCTACTGATGCTTAAACTACAAGCCCCCGACTTTGTAGAAAGATTGTGATCCAAACTGAAGCTTAATTAAATTCCCAAATATTCAATTGACCCAGCAGCTGGTGATCAGTTTAAACGAAGCATGAAGAGGCTGTTTTATTAAAACCTGTAATCTTAAATTATATAGGCAGTGTCAGCTCAAATGTGCAGTGGTTGGGCTTCTGCGTGATGCTAATTAGAACAGGAACTGAGTGTGCATCTTATTAAAAATCACAGTTAGAGCCAGCGTCTAACACTTGCACACTGAGTAAACTCCAGTCCCGATGTCACTAAATAAACAGATGTACTAAGGACTGGTAATGAAATTACAGTCAGGACTATTCTGGCAGAGAGCCAGGGTAAACAAAGAAATAAATCCATCTGCCTTTCATGGCAGCTCGACGCCACACACACACACACACTCATTTCACCCTTTGTTTAGTGCATCGCTAACTGCAGCCAGCACCTGAGCTACAGCACCACACAAGGAGGCAATACTTCAGTAGCTATTTACTCCTCTTCAAGGTCTCCATCTTGCATCGTACGCTCTTCAAGTGCCCCACTGTGGTGGCCCCATGTCTGATTATCAGCACACATTTTGTGGAAGCCTGGATGCAGCATAAAGAAAGGGGAAAAAAAAAACAACAAAAAAAACTGATTTCGGGATCCCAAGTCGTGCCTTCATGGTAAAGACGGCAGTTTGATTGTGTTGTATTGTTTTGCAGCAGAGCTAATGTGCAGAATAGCATCGGGTAGCCCACCAAGATATTCCTGCTGTGTCAGATGAAAATAAGCCTTTGAAGCCAGATATTTCTATGCAGTGTTTGAAAAGGCTCAACAATTCTTCACCGTCACTGTCTGACCATAAGTGAAACTAAACTTTTTTCCCCCCATACGAGGTCAGGAAATTGAAATTTTGCCCTTAGTTTTGAGTATTTTTATTCTTTATTCTGATTTGATATATTTTATATTCTATCTTTGTGTGAGTTTACCTGCTTTGATTCCCTGTCCATTTGCTGCTTTTGCAAAGAAATGTTGTCATTGTGGCATAATAAAGGATATTTGCATTACATTGTAAGGATAAACAAAACATTTGATGGTGACATGGCTAAGTTAAGTTCTGATGGATTAATTTACAATATTTGAGGTATGTGGAGATAGCAGGTGTGTTTTAAGGAACTCCTAAAATCATGTGTGACATCCTGGAAAAATTTCAATAATCCAGGTAAACAGGAAGTGAACTGAGGATCTCGATAATCAATCGTTAAGTCCTTTACTGAGAGTCTGAAGAGCCAATCAGAGAAGTCAATAATGTAAAAGCAAAATGAAAGGCAATATTACATTTTATAGCTGAATTCCAGTAAAAGGACAATTATTTTGTAGACAATTTCTGTGGTAGTATTTGGTCATCATTCCAATATGGAAGAAAAAGGATGTTGAGGGGATCATTCCCACTGTCAAATATGGATGTGGCAGCATAATCTGAAAATATCAGAAAGAGAGAAAAAGCTTGGCCACAGCTTCATCTCCATCAAGTTAATGACAAACTGGTTTGACTCAGTATGTTTGGAATGACCATTAAAAAAGTGTTGACATGAATGCCATTGGAAGGTTTGAAAGGTTTGTCTCTTCCCATAAAATGTGTTATTACTGTTGAATACCATTTTTATGAATTAGAAAAAGGTACGTACAAAAGTCCCAACCCTTCACATGTGGTATCACTGAAAAGCCCTAAATGTCCTCTCCAGATACCAAAATGAATTAATTCAGTAGAATGCAGGGTGTGGGAGATTTTCAAGTTTAGAAATGTCCTCTACAGAGGACAAAAATGAACTACTGGTAGTCAGGAGGTTAAGGAAAAAGGAACAAAATTCCATCAAACTATTGTGAAAAGCTTAAGGAAGAAACATTGTAGATCCAACTTAAATCCTGAAGAATTCTTGGATAAGAAAATCTCTATCATTTTCTGACTCATTACCAACATAATTTGCAAATAGAAATAATTTTAGTAATCCAGTAGCATGATGTAATATTACTCTGTTAGTCACTTAGTGTAAAAGGGTGTCTTTTTATAGTCTATGCAAATATCTGGTTTCAACTGTACCATGAAGATTTAAACTCATAGGTAGGCAATCAACTTTCAGCTTAGCTTCTTTTATGACAACTCTGTAGAATAATACATTTTTAATCCTTCCTCTTGTGCCTAAAACTGATCCTAGTTCTCATATTTTAAAGCAAAAAAAAAAAAAAAACATATTTCTCTCCCAGTTTTTTAATGATATGTGTTAACTGGTACCTTTAGACTTGTTGCGGTTCTCCTTCTGTTCATTGAAATAAGGCCATTAAAACGTAACGGTCCCACAGGTTGACAATTATTGAAAATACCCAGATGTTTTCTTCAAACCTGCATCATCGGGACAGCATGTTAAGAATCCCTCTGCAGTCCTTATCCAGAGACGATTTGGGGCTCAAGAGGAAGATTAATAAATTTTGTATTTTACATGCATCATCATGACTAATGACCTTCTTGCCAAACCGGAAAAAAAAAAAGTCCAACAGATTGCAAGTTTTATAGCCAAAATATACAGCGAGTCCTCATGTGATCTTCTGAAATAAAACACAGACTTATCAAGCACTTGAAAATCCTGAATCATTGACGCAGTTGACATACATAATAGTGAATGCAATACAATGGCTTTAATAAACACTGTAGAGCTTTAAATAATATTTAACGGCTTAGGATTTTTCTTTTCTCTCTTCTAAAGAAACTGCAGGATATGTAAACCTCGTGGAGTTCCACGTGTAAAGGCTGCATATGGAAAAATAAATAAATAAATCTTCTGATGCTTCATTGAAATGAACGAGCCCAGCCCATCACCAATTTCAAGGCTGTTGCACACGCGCTTCTACATTTATTGTTCCGTTGGCCTCACCTAGAGGGTGTGCTAGGAAATTGTCAATGACGTAAAGACAACAATCATTCACATTGAGGACACACGATTAATACTTCATCCACATGTATGCAGTTACATGGTTAGATAACTGCACACATGTTATATAATCATGTATTAGATTCTGAAAGTACCACTTTCTGAACCACAGAAACAACCCAAGATATTTTGATTTCTCCGTTTTGTGTATTATTGCACAAAGCCCATTTTGTCTTAGATAATGCAAAGGAGTCAAAATTGTACTGTAAATTTGTTTCACAGTATAAATCAGTGGCTGGCCGACCCTCAGGTTGGTATCACAGGTTGCATTGAGAGCTGAGGACCATTGATGAACCAGAACAAGAATCCACATTTTGACCCAGACAACTGCTGGCCCTCTTCTTCTCCTGCAGGCTTTTAGTTTGTTTAAGTGGGCTGGGCCATGGGGGCAGATGGTTGTAGGTAAGTGGAGGACAGATTTAAAAAAAAAACAGCAACTGCGAATTTACTGACCTCTGTCTCCCCGTCTCTGCAACGGATGATTTGAGAGGGATCCAAGATTTCCCATAGTGCGATGCCTTGGTCTCAGAGTGACACACTTGTTCCCTGCTATGTAGGGAAGAAGATCGGGGTAAGTGAAAGTATGTGCAGTCACACAGAGAGAGACAGAGAAAGGCCAGTATAATGTAGGAAAATGTCCATGTCTTCCAATGTGTAAAGCTATATTTATTGTGATACTTCTAAGTAGAATCTAGAACAACCAGAAGACAATTAATTTACAGAGGCCCTAAACTCAGGTGGGGAAATCTGTTGATAGCACCGCTACTGGTTGTGCTCTTAACTAAATCAGGCATTTGTTGAAAATTAGCAAAAGGTTTACTACCAGGCATGTACACACAAAGGGCTGAACTCTGTTTGGGGTAGAAAACCAACAACAAATCACACAGTAGAGAAAAGGCAGGTGGACTGTTCCAAAATATCAATAATATTGATACCAAGTCGGTATCAGAATCGGTGAGATCAACACTTTATGAAGTATTTCAGATTCTTTTTGAAATGTTATTTTTGTATTGCAGTTTCTTAAATCTACCTTAAAATATATGTTGTTTATTAAAGTATTTTATAGATACAAATTCCCCTAAAACACTGAAGAGTCGGAAGTTTGATGCTACATCAAACTCAAATAAAAGGTATCGGTATCGGTATCAATATCGGTGATACTTGAATGTATTTACTTGGTATCAGATCGATAACAGAAAATGTAGTATTTTAACTACAGAGCAAGGTTTAAATGGATAAGATGGAGCATTAAAGGAAAGGTTAAGATTAAAGAATATTCATGTGTTAGGTCAGTCCAGTCAAAGTTCGGAGCTGAATGCAATTGAGAACCTTGCCCTTTTTACTCCCTGTTGGTGTATCGCATAAAATCCTAATAAAATACCCTGAAGTTAGTGGCTATGACATGACAAAATGAAAAAATGTTAAAATAGTATGCACACTTTTCCAAAGTGCTGTGTATTTGTTTGTTTCATTTTCAACAACTACTAAATTTAATGACTGAAACACACAAAAAAAAAATACTTAAAGCTTTTCTTTTTAATTTCTTCCACGTGTTTAGAAGGGTTATGGGCAGCCTGTTTTACATCCCCACATATCAAGCAAAGCTCAAAGTGCAATGCAGCTGGTATTAAATAATGATGTGTTCTAGGTGCTGGCATTAATACTAAGGAGCAGAGTTCTCTGTGATTGGAGGAGAAGAGGAACTTGACTGTGGGCACATGCTGAGGATTAAAACAGCGCCACTTCAGCCCACCGTACACTCACTAACTGGCGCATCTTTCACTGTCTTTGCGGTGGAGACTGCAGAAGTAAATAACCATTTCAGACCCTAAGCTTTATTACTGATATGTGCAGCATCTCATTAATAAAACAAAAAGTGACTATTTTTGCTTAAAAATCTCATTAAATATGATCATACATCTACTCCTGTCAACACGCCGTGCGCATAAAGACAGCTTCAGGTCTACATATCCCCTTAAGAATCAATAGCGCTCCCCGGAGGAATCAGATTGTGGTGTTGTAGTATATTTTACAGCAACAAATACCACCGGTAGTTAAAATGATCCAGGAAGGTCTATTAGTGTTTTGGTAGCATGTTCTATAAAACAGGGGTTGCAAATCTGAGGAGGCATGTGTGTGCATGCATTAGACTCAGGGACTTATCGCTCTATCCTGAAAAGAGCTAGCATGATAATGGCAAGGGACTAGCATTTATCACATGAAGTAACTATTCCCCCCTGACACCAGAGCAGACCTTATCCCTCCAAGCCATCTGCACAAGAGAAAGCACCACACACAGAGTGACCATAAAATCCAGCGTTCATCTGAGCATGTAATTTAATACCATTGTAAAGATTACCCGCTCGCACACGCGGGATCCTTCTGCACATGCACATGAACTTTTGATCACAGCTCTTTAAAAACAGGGAGCCTGGCAAGTATTATATACACTTCATCAAGCCATTATCTTTGACCACACAGAAAGGTGTAGGTCCGTGTTTCACATTAGAGGGTGAATCAATAGTTTCCCCGCAAGAAAGCGGCGAGGAGTAATGGGGCTAAAGGTTCAGCCTACATCTCGGCTTTCTTAAATCAGTGCCATTTTTTTTTTTCTAGCAAAAAACAATTTGAATGATTGAAGTTCCTTCTAAATATATTTTTACCACTGCATACTGTGTGTGCACTTTCAAGGTTTTAAGTACACAATAAAAAAGATGGGGCGGGGGGGTTGTTTTACACATCACTCATTTGGATTTTTTCCTTAAATTGATCCATGGAAAGAAGGTTGAAAAACAGCTTACCCTTAACTTTATTTTATTTTTTTTTAACTCACAATAGGTTCTGTGGTTTCCTATACTTTGATCGCCTAGAGAACCAATGTGTGCAGATTGGTGATTTGTCTTCCATTTTGTCACTTTGTCTCAAAGCAAGGCTTTCTCATTGAAAAGCTTTTACAAGATTCAGCCTGATGAACTAAACAATGACTTTCAAAGTGACTGGGACGTAATGTGTTAGCTAATGGAGACTCTTTTTAAAAAGATGCAATTTATTTTAAGCCTTTTTTACGCAATCGTTATGTTACTGCATTTTTTTAAATTAATAACCAAACATCTGCTGTTGCAAAACCCTAAAAACTCTACAGCTATTTATTCATTTTGTTATGAGCTCCCTGAGAAGTTTATTAGATTTTTTTATAATGCTCTTTTATGGTCTCCTCATTGGTACATAACACATAAATATGGCAAAGTTGCTTACAGTGGTCATTTGAAGTAAAAAATAAATAAATAAATAAAATTTTGAGGTTTAAAATCTAATGAATCCCAGCAGCGGATCATTACTGAACTCGTTAAAAACTTACAAGCAAAAGAGCCACTGTGACTTTAGATCTAAACTTACTTTTAACAATCTGTCACGGTGACTGCAGCACTTCGATAGTTTAACACAGATACGGCCATTATATTCAGCTTATCGTCGATATCTCTGGCTACAAATTCCAGATTTACAATCATACAGTGCGGGTCTACTGGTGGATGAGTAGTAATGACTTTTGGATTTTATTTGAGGATATAACTTTTTAAAAATCAATGAAGAATCGCTAGCTTAACTGGTGCAGCAACCAATACAATGATAAGTCTTAGGAAAACACCTATAACTGCTGCCAAACATAATGGTATCAGAAACCGCCGCTACCCTTCAGGTTCAGCTCTGCTCTCTTTTTGAAGTGAAAGCAGCACAAAGTCAATGATTCTTTGTTGATAGCTCCTCCAAGATATCAAACGTTATCTTTAAAATTGCTGCTGGATGATGATGGTACATTTGCAAGGCAATAGTGGAACTACTTTGTGTCAACGAGGAACAGAAAAATAGAGAAATAGATTACTGGCATTTAGAGCTGACATGAGCTATATAAAAAGTAAGACACAGACGATGATAGCGGCTTGATGAAGTGTATAAAATACTTGCCATGCTCCCTGTTAGAGAGCTTCGATTCTTCCAATTTGTCTCACTGTCATATCTTCTCTCAATCATCACGAAGCTGCAGACATCTAGGCAGACGGAGTGCAAACAGTGATGGCTATCGGTATTGACATTGGTCTAAAAGGATCCGCTAGCCTTCCTCTGGCCCTGTAGGCTCCATAATTCCCTATTCAGAAAAAAAAAAAAATGCCAGCCTCTGCACTCCTCTTCCTCTCTGCTGCTCCGCGAGGGAAACAAAGAGCATTACTGCTTAATGCCCCATAGCGTTCTGACATCACCTTTCCACAGGAGAGGAGGACACACTCGATTTGATGGGCTAATTGTGTGTGGCATAATTAATCAATGTCTCCTGAACAACAAATTCCCATGTGTGCACACCCTACGTCGCATGAATGCCTTCAAAAACATAGAGGGGGTAATTGAATTTACATTTATTTATATTTCTTTACAAATGATTTAGTCGTTACTGAGAGATACTTGTGAGGTATTTTAACTGGGAAATAGATGCGATAGATGGGCATGAACTGAGTTTGCCCTTGGCGGCGCTGTACTCGAGTGCAGAGACGGCAATCAGCATTGCTTGAGGCTGATTATTTTTTAATGACAGAGTGGGAAGAGGCATCAGAAGAGACTGCAAGATTAAGGTGACGTTTCTGCTCTTTGTTTCATATTAGGTGCATCCTTATGCCACACTTATAGCAGGTTGATCAGGCACTGCATCCATGTAGACTAAAGAGCATTCAGCTGTAGACATCTTTAGCACCCGACAAAAGGTACAATAAATATTGTGTTTATGAAATGGGAGAAAATGCGATGTACCGACACCTCTGAGAGACGGGCTATGTCCCGAGAAGTAACACTGCATTAAATTTTATTACGCACAAACTGACAAAGGCAAGCAAAGCTGTTACATTTTGGCTGCTGAAATGTCAAAGAGTTTGAGCCACGGCTGTGTAAAACTATCAAGTCTTACCTTCATGATCAAAACAATAACTATCCCAGAAAGGAGTTATGGAAAAAGGGAATGACGACGAATATCAAAACTGTCCAAGTAATAAAATTAGTATGCATTTTAGAGCGCACGTAAAGTATTCAAGTAACCAGCTGAATCCTGGAGTGGATTGAATTTCCATTACTTAGCACGCAGATCAATTTTAAATGTCTCTTCACTTAGTTGTCTCCTCGGTTGTGGAAGAAAAAAAGCAATCACTGTCTACAGTTCACACCGTGTTAGTATTGCCAGCAGGCTGCAGCCAATACCTTGGGAAAGTTGCAAAACAAAATTTGAATAAGTCTCACAAACACAAGCTGAGTCACTGGCTGTAAATGCAGATGGGCTATGCAGCTGAAGTTTTGAACTTGAAGTTCTTAAACGACAAATTGCTATTGAGCTGAAAAGGTGCCGTTCTTGCTGTCAACATTTCAGCAACTGGCATAAATGTCTGCAATTTAGTTAAACAAGAAGTGCATAAAGGCTGAAACATGGCAGAAAAATATCAATTTCCCGTTGCCTCTTTAAAATTAGGCGTTTAACACCAGACACAACCTCAAGAGCATAAGATTTAAAGGTC